TCAGGCGGCATGTCCAATGAACTCAACAACATAATCTCCCGCACCACCGATGGTGTTTTTGAAGGTGTGGCCATTGGCGGGGACAGGTATGTAACTTTCGTTTATCTGCAGTATGTGAGCATGTGGGTTTGGATTAGTGTGAAATTTTACACTCTTCTGCAGATACCCAGGCTCTGTGTTTACTGACCATGTGCTGCGCTACCAAGACAGTCCCGGGGTGAAGATGATTGTTGTGCTGGGAGAGGTGAGGATATAATATATACAAACTTGTGCCTGCAACTTTAAGCAGTTATTGACTTAATACATACTGGATCTGTCTCTGCCTTCCACAGATTGGAGGCACAGAGGAGTACAAGATCTGCGAGGCTATTAAACAGGGCAGGATCACAAAGCCAGTGGTGTGCTGGTGTATTGGCACCTGTGCCACCATGTTCTCTTCAGAGGTGAGAGGGGAAGGTGTAGAGTCTGGTGCATTTCACGCCCCATAATGACCGTTTTAATGACATTTCTGACCCATGTGCCCCCCCCTCCCCAGGTTCAGTTTGGCCATGCAGGAGCCTGCGCTAACCAGGCATCTGAGACTGCAGTAGCTAAAAACAAGGCTCTGAAGGAAGCTGGTGCCTACGTCCCCAAGAGCTTTGATGAGCTGGGAGACGACATCAAGTCAGTGCACATTGTCATATTTATTCCTTCAGTTCATCACACCAACATAAATATTCTTTGCGACAACATTTTCTGATGTGTTTGTCAGTATTGTATCATAATGATTCCTGAGCTAATTTCACATTCTTCTGTCTCTTTCGTCCATGCAGATCCGTTTATGATGACCTTGTTGCCAAAGGAGTTATCCAGCCAGCCGAGGAGATGCCTCCTCCCACTGTGCCGATGGATTACTCTTGGGCTCGAGTGAGTATGCCTCCGAACAAGATCAGTATGATCAAGTGTTAAGCTATCAGATGAGGGCAAAACAAAGCAAATCGGGTTGTCTTAAAATACGACAAATGGATCACCAGTACACGGAGTGAAAATGTTCCCCTTTTTTTTGCCCTGCAGGAGCTGGGCCTTATCCGTAAACCTGCATCCTTTATGACCAGTATCTGTGACGAGAGGGGTCAGGAGCTCATCTACGCAGGCATGCCCATCACTGAGGTCTTCAAGTCAGAAATAGGCCTGGGAGGAACTCTGGGGCTTCTTTGGTTCCAGAGGAGGTCAGCTTCTTAAGCCAGTAATTGTGATAAACAAACTCTTGATAAATCCTTGAACCGCGTAACCATTGCTGTTTCTTTCTTTGTGTGCAGGTTGCCGAGGTATGCCTGCCAGTTCATTGAGATGTGCCTGATGGTGACTGCTGATCACGGCCCTGCTGTTTCCGGTGCCCACAACACCATTGTCTGTGCTCGAGCTGGCAAAGATCTCATCTCCAGCCTCACCTCCGGCCTTCTCACCATCGTAGGACACTTAAACTTGTGATTCATGTACTTGATTTACTGACCTGCAAAAGACCACCATGAGCATGTTTTTGTCACTTTTCAGGGTGACCGCTTTGGAGGTGCTTTGGATGCTGCAGCAAAGCAGTTCAGCAAGGCATTTGACAGCGGCATGCTGCCCATGGAGTTTGTCAACAAGATGAAGAAGGAAGGGAAGCTGATCATGGGTATTGGACACAGAGTGAAGTCTGTGAGTATCATGGTTCCTGTGTGTATCCAGTGTGGACAGCAGTGTGATCTTTAAATCAGAGTTTAGCTATTTTATAAAGCTTAATTTAATAAATATCACAGGAAAAAGGACTGCCAATATTGCTTTGGTGCTATAAAAATCATGTAAAAGACATATATATATATATATACTAGAGATGGAGGAAGACAAGGTTGATTAGAGAAGGAAGATTTTGTATGAAAAGGGATTTTCTGTTCTTCCCCAGATTAACAATCCAGACATGAGAGTCCAGATCTTGAAGGACTTTGTGAAGCAGCACTTCACCTCCACGCAGCTGCTGGACTACGCTCTGGATGTAGAGAAGATCACCACATCCAAGGTAAGTTTATACCTTCATCCTGTCTTTCACAGCCTTTACTAAATATTGGCATACCTCATCTTTAAATAACATGATCCTTTTTTCCCCCGTGTGTTCATTTTGTTGTATTAGAAACCCAATTTGATCCTGAATGTGGATGGCTTCATTGGTGTGGCCTTTGTGGACTTGCTCAGGACTTGTGGTGGTTTTACACGGTGAGCTGATAAATTCTGGTCATCTGTACAATGTCTTTTATACAGTTACATTTTTATATTGAACCCATGTAGCAAATGAGTGTAAGGCTCATCTATACATTGATATAATAAATATGTGGGAGGACACGCTGGGGCTACAAGTTGTCATCCACCTGCACTTCACTCACACATGTAGTATAAAGGCTACATTGCATGCAGCCACTCTTATCCTTGCTGTCCACTATGTCCACCACAGGGATGAAGCTGATGAGTTTGTGGAAATTGGAGCCCTGAATGGCATCTTTGTCCTGGGACGTAGCATGGGATTTATCGGTGAGTCACTGCTATTGTGCGTGTGTGTGTGTGTGTGTTTGTGTGTGTGTGTGTGTGTGTGTGTGTGTGTGTGTGTGTGTGTCTGTGTCTGTCTGTCTGTCTGTGTGTGTGTGTGTGTGTGTGTGTGTGTGTGTGTGTGTGTGTGTGTGATGGCAAACACTTCGACCTCGCGTGACAACATTTTCGTATCTCCTCAGGACACTACCTGGACCAGAAGAGACTGAAACAGGGTCTGTATCGCCACCCCTGGGACGACATCTCCTATGTGCTCCCGGAGCACATGTCCATGTAATCAAAGCAACTACCCCGGACAGTGTCAGCCCTGTGTCCTCAGATCCCCTCACCCCAGCTGTCAGTTCCCGCCCATACTGTGATATGTCACGCCAAAGCAGTGGCATAATGTAGGGAAGATGTTACTAATAATATAGCTGTAAATTACAAAATATTGAAAAGAAGAGAGTATGTTTTTAGTTTTGGAAACCTGTTAGTGCTGCAGTCTGAATATTAGTAAATACCTGCTAAACTGTGAAGCTCTAGCCAGAGAAAGTCAGGGTCTGACAATGTGTTTTGGGAGATTTGAAGATGAGTTGTGTATACAGGTGAGGGATTATTCACCACCACTCTCATGGCTAGTGAAACACTGTTATTTACCCCCAAATATTACATCACTGTTGTATTAACCAAGCATGTGTGTCTGTACCTCAGACTGTTGTTTCTCTGTGCAGCTCTCGTCATTGTGCCACTTGGGAATCATGAGCTTATTACAAAGGGTGAACACATAGTGCAATAATGCCTATAATATGAGAACATACTGTAGATCAGAGCTTTTTATTTATATATAGGTGTATTCATAGTGGAAAATTTAATGGTACAAGAATGTTATAGTTTTGATTTTCTCTAATGTTTTTGACACAGTGGCGGAAATGAATCTTCGATCTGCTTACTGTGGCACTTGGGACCATTTTTATGAGTCATTCCTGGCAGGTGTTGGGAAATAATCGTTCTCAGCTGGTGGAAAATGTGGGAGTATTTTCTTAAAGGGTCTAAATGGAAGTCAAGTTCGTCATAAAGAAAAGGAATCTTTAATTTGAATGCATTTTCTTTCCCCAGTTATTTAAATGGATAATGGCCCCAGGATGCAGTTATAATACGATCTTCTAGGAGACATTAGCTACAAAAAGATAAAATATATTTTTAAGATCTACTCTGTCTTGATATTGTTAATATAAATCCCACTAATCCCATTACAATGAACTGAATAATTATTATTAGAATATTTCTGCATCAGCTCAACAAAACCAGCTAATATTTCTAGCAGATAAATGTCATCATAGGTTTTATATTTTCACATCATTAATAGATTTAACATTTTTTAACAACCAATTAATATGACAGTTGACTAGTCTCACAGGTCACTATGTTGGACAGTCTGCTCTTTTAAATTAAAGAAAATTAATAAATTTCCCCCCCCATAATTTATGAGGTATAAAAGAAAATGTATAGCAGCCATCATCAGTGTCATCTTGTAAGTGAATGTTACAAAACTATAGAAATTCTGTGGGCAACCAGAAACCTCACCAGTGTTGTCTCAATGTTCATGTTTTTAACTGTTTCAATGTGAACTCAATGTGCCTCTGTGTGGATTTGTTGTATGTTGACAACTGTGTAATTGAGTAAAATAAAATGTAATTAATGTAATGTAATAATACTGTGTGTGTGTGTGTGTTTGTACAATTTTATCTTCTCAAATATATCTATCTATATATATCTTCTCTAACCTCTGTCCAGGTTAAATTGTTAATGTAGGGGTTGGGTGTCTTCCTAAATTGACATTTTTTTTTATACCTGCACACACCTTTTTACCTCTTTAGACTCCAGCTGTTTTAAATTAAATGCAAACACACTTTAGACACACTATAATGTGTTAGATCTCTAGATTGTGCAACCGTGCAGAGATGTAAACATCTTGGCATTTTTTAGCTTCTGAAACACAGGCGTTTGCATTTCATGTAGTTTTTGCCTATGGCAGGTTGGTGCTATTGTGCATCTACCATGAGATTCCTTCTGCATAATGACTGGAATGTTGTTTTTTTCCAGATCACAAGGCATTATAACACTAAAAAATATATAGCAGACTTAGATTTCTTTGCTATCCACTGTAATTATACAGTCTATATATATACAGTGATATGAGGCTGTGCATTTATTGCAGTGGGTCAACCATCCCTACCCTGCAGAGCAAACTACATGCATGTCAATACAAGATCCTCCCCATGTGCAGAGCTCAGCAGTGACAAGCAACTGCCAGCGACGTCAACGACGCGGTTACGCCTTTCATCCACTGCGCATGTCAGTGACTGTCTTGTGTTTACCAAACTGAAGTCGGTTCCGTATTCGTAGCATCCTAAACGATTCGATATTTTACAGAATAAACGGTGCTAAAAGGTACGTTTTTAGCTTGTACTATAAATGGAAGCCCAGGTGAAATAATACCGCTGTTATTGTGCATATTTATTGCGTTATTATTGTGTGCATGTAGCTGTTTATCTGCCGTGTTGTAATTGTTATTCTGTATTACATGTCAGATAATTATCATATTTTATCTGACATAAAAAAATACACTTTTTTTTAGTTTAATTTGAAACTACTGGCCACTGAAATGTTGCATTTAAAACCGAACAATGTGCAGGTTGAGATTAACCCAGCTTTAAAGCCGCGGATGTGTCGCTCACGAATACGAAACGCGCTTCGCTGTCGTTCTCTGTTTTGACTCCGTGTATGTGTGGCTGCGTATGTCGCCTCCTCTCCTGCACTAGTTTACTCCATTCCCCCCCCCACACCACTGCTCACCTCCAGCGCCGGCAGCAGAATGGCAGCGGCGGCCCCCAACCCGGAGGACTCCGCCAGGAGCAGCGGCAGCGGCGGCACCAGCACACCCAGCGCCCTCGCCGGAGACGGGGACGCGGAAGAGACCGAGGACTTCACCTCCTCCTCCCACTGCTCGGAGCTGTCTCGGCGGCAGAACGAGCAGAGGAAGCAGGGCTTGTTCTGCGACGTGACGCTGGCCTTCAGCAGCGGGGTGGCTACCGGGAGCGTGCAGAGCTGTGAGTTTTCAGCCCACAGGTCTGTCCTGGCTGCGGCCACCGATTATTTCACCCCTTTGCTGGGTGGACAGTTCTCCGAGTCCTTGTCCGGACGGGTGGAGATGAAGGAATGGAGCTCAGAACTGGGGCCGGACCCGGATACGGTGGAGAGTGTCATCCAGTACATGTACACTGGAGAAATACGCGTTAGCACCTGCAATGTGCATGAAGTACTGGAGCTAGCTGATAGGTATGAGCTGCTTACAATCACATTATGTGTGTGTGTGTGTGTGTGTGTGTGTGTGTGTGTGTGTGTGTGTCAGAGAGAGACTGTGATTTTGATAGTCAAAGCATGAGGCCTTCAATGGCTGCCCTGATGCTTAAAAAGTATTGTTTTTGTGCTCTGCTTGCATCAAATCAGTAGAACTAGAATAGTATTATGTCCTTGAGAGAAACTGCTCATTGTCTCTGACATCCTACACTGTAATTTCTCTGTTGTCTCTATATTAGGTTTCTGCTGCTGCAGCTAAAGGATTTCTGTGGTGAGTTTCTTAAGAAGAAGCTGAGCCTGACCAACTGTGTGGCGGTGCACAGTCTCGCCCACATGTACACCTTGGACCAGCTGGCTCTACGGGCTGCAGACATGATCCGGCGCAACTTCCACAAGGTTATCCAGGATGACGAGTTCTACACGCTGCCCTTTCACCTGGTCCGTGACTGGCTGTCTGACGCAGAGATCACGGTGGATTCTGAGGAGGTGCTATTTGAGGCTGTGGTGAAGTGGGTGCAGAAGAACTCAGAGGAGCGAAGCCGCTACTTTGAGGAGCTGTTCCGTCTCCTGAGGCTGCCCCAAATAAAGCCCACCTACCTGACCAGGGTGGTGAAAAATGAGCGGCTGGTGGCCGCCAACGAGGCCTGCCTCCGGCTGGTGTCAGAGGCAGTAGAGGGTCACGCTATCCGCTTTGAGAACCTCAAGTCAGCTGATATGGAGTTCTGGTCTTCTCACATGGCCTCCTTTCAGCCTCGCTTTGGCCAGAACATGGACGTCATCATGGTAGTAGGCGGTGTGTCAGAGGGAGGGGACTACCTGAGCGAGTGTGTGGGTTACTTCATCTATGAGGACCGTTGGGTCAATCTGCCGCACATCCACAACCACCTGGACGGCCATGCCATCGCTGCCACAGAGTCCCACGTCTACGTAGCCGGTTCGATGGAACCAGGCTTTGCTAAGACGGTGGAACGTTACAATCCCAATCGTAACACCTGGGAGCAGGTGAGCAACCTGACAACACGCAAGCATTCCTTTGGCCTCACCTGCATCAAGGATATACTGTACAGCATCGGTGGCCATGGAAACTTCAGTCCTGGGTTTAAAGATGTCAGTGTGTATGAGCCCGAGCAGGACAAGTGGCACAATCTGGAATCTGCCCCAAAAATCCTGCGGGATGTGAAGGCAGTGAGTGTAGAGGACCGCTATGTGTATGTTACAGCACGCACGCCTGTCGATACGGATAATGAGGATGGACTGAAGACGGTGACCACTCGCTATGACACGGAGAGTCGCCAGTGGCAAGATGTTGACTCTCTGCCCCTTATTGACAACTATTGCATCTTCCAGATGGCTGTGGCCTCTACTAACTTCTACCACACGGCCTCCTGCTGCCCCAAGAGCTACACGGAGAGGGATGAGGTTGCTAAGCAGAAGATCAGTGTGCGCATCTCTGATGAGATCCTGGAGAGCCTGCCACCAGAGGTTACCAGCATCGAGGGTGCTGCAATCTGCCACTTCGATGAGGACGTCTTCATCATCGGAGGCTGGAAGAACAGTGATGATGTGGACAAGCAGTACCGCAAGGAGGCCTACCGCTACTGTGCTGAGAGGAAGCGCTGGATGCTGCTACCGCCCATGCCTCAGCCTCGCTGCCGAGCCACGGCCTGCCACGTCCGCATCCCCTACCGTTTCCTGTATGGCTGCCAGCGCTACCCCATGCCTCAGAACCTGGCCCGCCAGCGAGATCGCATGCAGCAGATGCAGCAGCTCCACCGGCGCACGCTCACCCTGCGCCGGCAGCTCCAGTCGCAGATAGAGTGCTGAGGAAGTCAGCGGTCTGCGCCATCCAAGAACTACACAGCTCTGTCCGAGGATACACTGCAAGCCACCGTTCCATTGCAAGCATCTTCATGGACCCCCCACTCATACATACATAACATGCTGCAGCGGGTCTTGTGTTGCTCTCATACTGGAATTTCATTAAACTGTGCCATCGGCTCTCATGCTGTGTTGTGTTAATGGCTGAGTTGTCGAAAGCCATGAAATGTGTAAGCAGGTGTGTGCTGACCAGCTGTTGGTCTATGTGAGGAGGGATATGGCGAATGTAAACATGTGAATAAGAGTGTTATAAAGCAGCCAACAAACTGAATATCCTTTTGTCAAGTATGTTGGTATAGATGCTGTTTATCTGTTTGTACATAAATAGTATAAAGCTGTATATGTAAACATTTATATGGATATTTTACATTCCTTTATTGTATGCCCGCACTGGGAAGGCTGTGTGACTTTGTTGATAACTTCATTCCTACATTCAATCCAACTCGCTTAATGAAGTCTCATTCCGTTGTAACACTGTGACAATCTCCTCATGAAATTATAACATTGGTTCAAACGTCTAACTCACTCACATATAACTTGTATCATAATTGCTCTATTAGAATGTCTCTCCTTGTTACTGTGCAGCCTCCACAAGTGAATATGAGGCTGTTAGTCTTAAGATCCTGTAGACTAGTTTGCTTTTAGATCGCAGTTTCCCTTCAACGGTTGTACTATGAGTATGTTTTCATTTTTGTTGCTCATGTAACACTTGAACTCGTAAGCTTTCTCCAGGTTTTCTGAAGAGGTGAAATGATGAGAGATCTGTGATAAGATGTACTGAAATTGTTCCTTTTGAGTTATCTCAACACTGAATCATTCAAGTTGGCCACTGCACTAAGCACCAATCATTGGCAATGGCTCAATCATTCCTTTCTTTTGCACTTTGGCAGTTGATTGCTCCATGGTTCCCCATTCATTCAAGGAAACATAGAGAATGTGTATACATGTGAGTGCAGGAGTGTGTATGATTTGTGTTTGCAGAGCAGAGCTTCTCTACAATGCACTTTTTAACATTTAATTGTTCGTAAAGTCTTACATAAACATTTCATTTACAACTGCACTTTGACTTTGCATACTTCATGTGTTTCATATCAGACAAGGTGATTGTATTTTTGGAAATGCTTTGTTTTACCCAGCTTCCAGCCAGTAAGTTTTGATCTTCTTTGAAAAAAACATGTTAGCATTATTTGTGGATTTGTTTCCAACATTAAATGTCTTGTAAAACCTTGTGTTATTGTACTTCACTTGCAGCTGGGTGTACATTAGAGCCCCCCCAAGAGACTTCGAAATGAGATGGAAAGGAATCAGACTTATAGGCAGAACAAAAGGGATTGTTGTGACTGACATTCAGAAATTCCAGCTGTGTCCATGCAGCACCTGTTACAGCATAAAGGTTACAGAGCGCAGAAATGATATTCATTTCCACTTTATGACCAACATAAATAGCACTGCAAGTGGAATAAGCTATGTAATTTGCTTTGCATGTGATAGTCTGACATTGTGTCCTTTATATTGGATGTAAGAAATGTTAATGTCATCACTTGCAATTAAAGTTGTTTTGTAAGACAGATGGTTGCACACGTAGTGTATTATTGCTTTGTTGGCCTTTACTAATCAAAAGAGTTTGATGTAGTCGGCATCCACTGAAAGACTGTTAAATTACTATTAACTGCTTAGACCTACTGTACATTTTATTGCAAAGCTACTACATAGTTAAGCATCAGGCTCCAGTGGTTGCTGGCAACAAACAGTAGACACGTAATTAGTGGTACATGGCATGTTCTCACCAGTATTATTTGGATCAGGGCCCAGAAATCCTGGAGGAGAGGCAGGGTGGGAACCTTTTATCAGAGCCTTTGCATTGGGAGGAAGAGTACATAACGTCCCACTTCAAGTTATGTAAGTAGTAGTGCTGCCTTCACGTGTACCTCATAGGCTCGCACTTTTGAATACACCCGACAAAAAGACATCTTTCATCGCCTTAGGCCAGCCGAGAGTACGTGACATCTTAACGTTTAGTTATAACTTGTCTAGACGGTGTCCATAAATGGTTTCGTTAACAAAAAAGTGCAGTCTACCGCTTCGTTTTAACATTAAACTGCGACTTCCCAAAAACAAATTCCGACACTTTCTTCAGACCCGGAAGGCAGCGGAACCGCGGCTGTGACTCTCTCGTGCACATAGCAACACAAACGGTTTATCAACGGACACTGACAACTGATGACACGTCTTCTCGTCAGAATAACCTTAACGGACCGACAACCGATTTAAAGAAAATGGTAAAGTCACTCAGCGTCTTTGTTTTAAGGGGAAAATACCAAAGCACCATAAATAATAACGCTCCCGACACCAAGGAAGTTCGGTACTGGCTAGCTAGGCGTCTCTAGCTTAGCTGTGTGTGTGTGTGTGTGTGTGTGGCTAACGTTATACTGATTTGTCTTTGTTAGCGGACCTAATAGCTCTAAAGTAAATTTACAATACAAGAAACCGGTTGTTATTATGGCTGCAGCGTCATTGTTGTGCTACTGGCAAATGCTGTGCAGGTTGGGGAATAAGTTAGGTAACGTTAAATATAGCTTAACGTGGTGCTAGCGCCCGACAACGCGTTTTGCAAAGCTCAAATGGGACTTTGTGCTCTCTCTCTCTCTCTCTCTCTCTCTCTCTCTCTCTCTCTCTCTCTCTCTCTCATTAAATGTCTAATTAACTTAAATTAGCACATATGTTCAATGTTAAGATTCCAGAGTTGTCCAACCCGTCGGTGTGTATGAGGGACCCTCAGAGGGTGCAGGAGATCCTGCAGTCCATGGTGAAGGCTGGCTCCAACACCGTGCAGGTAAACGACCTCCGCGACATGATTCAGTGTGTTCAATATGCAGAGAGTGTGTTTTTCTTTTATTTATATTATCTTTCATCCAGGTGATCTCCGATTTTGACATGACCCTAACAAGATTTGCACACAATGGCAAAAGGTGCCCCACCTGTCACAGTAAGTTCCCTGACTATTTAAGTAGGGCTGCACAATTCAAGTGCAATGTGCAAATCACCAGAGCTGTAATGTGCTGAAAAATGTGTGACAAAACAGCATTATAATGAAGTATTGTAGTGCTGCAGAGGTGCCCTGGTCTACAACTCTTGTTCTCCAGATTTAAACTAACATATTTGTTTGGTACAGATCACATTATCAAGATTTTGATAGTTTTTTGGGGGGTGAAAATTCAATTTGTGATTTTAAAAAAACAATAAACATTCCCACATAATCGTAAATCGCAATCAGAATAATAATTGCAATATGTGTATTGACAAGAATCCGTGTGATCTGCATTTGTAGTTATCACAGTCTCTGTAACACCCAACATCATAGCCCTCAGTTTACGTTTACAACACTGCTATTTAGCAGTTGCCGGTTTAAACACAAAAATCGAGTGTTTTTGAGAATCAATGCAATATCACAAAAGTAAATATCATGATACAATATTTCCTGATATTCCTTTACACCTCTAGTTTGAGGTAATCGTGTATTAAGGTTGGTTTTGGCTGAACGTTGGTGCATGGCTGAGGGATTTATTTTCTGTGTATTTTATTTGCAGATATTCTTGACAACAGCAAACTTATCTCCAGTGACTGCAAAGAAAAGGTAGGAATGAGTTTTCAGTGCAAAAGCAGGTTTTCTATTTGAAGGACCAGTGCCATTAATGTATGTTTCTCCCCATGTGAGCCACAGCAGACATCATAAATATAAGTTTAAACTTATTAGATCTTAATAGGGAACTACATGTGTTTTTTTTGAAGGTTTTAGAAATGTTTATGTTAAAATCTTAAGCACTAGACTACCTACAGACTAATGTATTTAACTTTGAATTTAATTTGGTGAGTCCTTCATTCATTGTCACTTATATTTAGTTGGTCTGCCCTCTAGTGGGCAATAGGAAGAATTACAACAGGTAAACTGAACCATGATCATTCATTTGAATCTATTGAGCTTTAATGCAGAAATGTGTCTTCCTGCTGTTAAATCTTCTTTGTGTATCTGCAGTGTGACCACATATTGCTTAAGTATTAAGGAAAAAGATCTACTTTTTAAGACAGTGTCTAGACTTTACTATCGTGACCATGAACATACGCACTGAATGCACTCTTATGGCTTCCCTCTGATATAATCTGACCAAAAGTTGTAAAGGAAAGATCAACTCTAAGTCCGACTGGGTAAAAAGCAGATGTTTGTTTTACTTTTGTCCCGTCTCTGTCAGCTGAAGGAGCTGCTCAACACATACTACCCCATAGAGATCGACTCTTCACGGTCAATAGAAGAAAAGCTGCCCCTTATGGTTGAGTGGTGAGTATCTAATAGAACTTTTAACAAAACAAAAAAAAGATATTCTTCTATGTTAATGTGTTTATAAAACTGTGCTGCACCTATATCTCACAGGTGGACTAGAGCCCATGAACTACTGGTACAGCAGGAGATTAGGAAAGACCTGCTGGCCGTGGCCGTGCGGGAGTCTGATGCCATGCTGAGGTCAGAAAAACCTGCTCCCTCTATTTAAAACTTTAAATTCCTTCCTTCCTTAAGTACTTAAACTCTAATGCGGAGCTGATGTTGTAACAGGGAGGGCTACCAGCTGTTCTTTGATCACCTGCATGAGCACAGCATCCCTCTGCTCATCTTCTCTGCTGGAATAGGAGACATCCTAGAAGAGGTTATCCACCAGGCTGGTGTTTTCCACTCCAACGTCAAAGTCTTCTCCAATTACATGGACTTCAATGAGTCTGTGAGTAGCCACACCACAAACTTCGATCTGATCCCCACACCAGGGAGTGAAACTCTATCATTTATTTGACTCTTGATCTGTACAGGGAGTGTTGAAGGCTTTCAAGGGGGAGCTGATCCACATCTATAATAAAAGGGAAGGTGCGCTGCTCAACACTGGCCACTTCCAAGAGCTGCGGACGCGGCCTAACGTGCTACTGATGGGGGACTCTCTGGGAGATCTCACCATGGCTGATGGGGTGCAGGACATGGAAAACATCCTCAAGATTGGGTTCCTCAATGACAAGGTAAATAAAAAAGTATACACTCTCATGTTCATCACAATGACCGGACATCAATGTTCAATACTTTTTACAGTTAAGTAGTCATATTCTGACATTTCAATACATTTCTCATCTGTTTTCGCTCCCTCAGGTGGAGGAGAGGAAGCAATCTTACTTGGACTCATATGATATTGTGTTGGTAAAAGATGAGACCTTGGAAGTCCCTAACGCCCTTCTGCTCTACCTCACTGGCAATAAGTGAACTGAGAATTGAGAATACCACTGGCTGTTTGGTATTGGACACTCCAGGTCACCCTGCTCAGAAAGTGCCAGTTAAAGGCTTACAGACAAGAATGTGTCATCATAATTTTTTTATTTTACAAAACTATTCGCAAGCTCACGCACACCACCTCACCCTCTTACATCTTTGTCCATTGGATTTCTTCTCTTGTTTAACGGTTTAACTACTTTTGGACCATACTGTATGTGATGGAAGCCAGATACCTACTGTGCAGCATGTAAAGTGTATGATTGGGGTTGTCAGGCAGTTTTTGGTCTTCATATTTAGGATTTCATGATTAAGGGAAAGAAAAACGCACAACATAAATGGCAGCACGTGACTGCATTTGGTCTGAAACTGATATCCAGCCTCTTACAATAAAACCTAATTTATAGCTAATTTTAACCTGAAACTTCTTACGGTTTAACATTTTATTGGTGTCAAGTCTTCCAGTTTTTGGTCATATTGTCAATCATGAAAACTATTGTTTTTCTTGTGTAACACCACCGTGCTACTTTATATTAAGAGAAAAATAAATATGTTAACATGAGTAAAACAAATATGTCACTGAGAGGTGAAAGTGTTTGTAAGAACTAACTGCTACCTCAGAATTGTTACGGTATTAACGTTAAATAACAAGTTTTGTTAGTATTTTGAATGATTTCACCTTTACTGTCATTTTAGGTTTTGATAAAGGTCGATTCAAAATGGTCACACAGCAACAAACAAAAGCTTCCAAAAAACGTAACAGAGTATTAACACGATATCCCAAAATGACATGTCTGTTATTGTGTGCCACATGCAGTCAGTCATGCATTTTTTTGTCTTTACAAACTCATTACCTTTCCATATGTTCCAGCTTGTCTGAAATAAAATGTGGTTTCACCCATTTCTCATCAGCATGTTTAAAAATGTTTTCATCGATATTGAGGCTAATGAATTAAAATCTACCAAACTAATTTACAGGTACATGTTCATATGTGGACAGTGTGGAAGAAATCTAATGGCTGTTGTCTTCATTTTATTATAAAAACAAATTATTTAATGTTTTACACGTTGTAATATCATTTTCAGTAACAGATTTTCACTCCAAATTTTACTGTACAACCAGTGTTTTCTTCATCCTTTTTATATGAGGCACTGCACTTGACTATTAGTTTATATAAGATGTACTATTCTGGAAGAAGGGCCCAGCCCAAATGCTCAAATGTGCCTGAATACAGTTTCACTACAGACAATTTTTCTTCCGTTCACATT